GGGGGGGGGGGGGGGGGCGGACTAGGCCACGAGGGAACACGGCAGTCGATTCGGGCCCGAATCGGGTGTTCGAGCCCGACCCCTCTTCCTATCCTAGGAAAAAAGCCCTCGCCAAGTCCAAGAACAATGTTCTTTCCGTTCATGAGAGCCCAGAGTTTTGTTCTTACGGTCGCCGATAACGAACAGGTATTTTCTGTTGTTGTCTTTTTTCAATCGTTCATGTTGCTTTGCGAGAGGCTGAACGACTTGCTGATCGTGCGTCCCACGTATCGGCCCAGGTCACGGCTCCTGCGCCACATGGCCGAGTCTCCCGTGGGGGGCGTGATTTGACCCTCGTATTGCTCGGCGTGGAAGTTCTGGCTCGTGGAGTAAATGGGGTTGATGAACGCTCTCTGCCGTGCAAAAAAGTAACGACAACAACAACAACAACAACAACAACATTGGATGGAAGAAAAAAAATATGACACACCATTAACATAAGAAAAACAGCAAATTGCTCCATGGCCAGTACACGCTACAATGACCAAGCCATCGGCATATTCACGAAGGTGTTCCATCTGGTTCATCTTGAGGTAGGGGGGGGGTCTCGCGCGGTGTAAGTGTGGAGAAAAGAGGGATGTGTTCGACTATATTCCACAAAAAAATCAGAACGCGCCTGTTTGGTACTTGAACAGCCTCACTACAACGTGGCTTCTTTGGTTGGTTGTGTGATAAGCGTTGGTTTTCTTGGTCAATATTTTTTGTGTGCCTAGGTTGTATCAACGAAAAAACGAAAAAACGACTCTACGAAAGAAACGCCGGTTAGAACAATTGAGCGGCAACACTACGCCTCAGCAAAAAGAATGGAGGAAACCGTGTGTGTGTGAGGGGGGAGGGGGGGGGGGGGTGTACTCATAGTCGTGCATGCCGTAGTCGTTTGACCATTGACCTCGCATCCCTACAAAGCCGGGACGGAGCACGCCGGGTTCTCACCGGACCAGGCTCTCACATCACCAAGCGCGAAGCGGCGTGAGGTATTTGGCGAGTCGCATGAAGGGTGAGCTGCCATCCTGCTAAGGGTGTTCGGCATCTTGTGCTTACTTCCTTGCGTACGGATGACAGCTACGCATGACTTAATTTATTTTCTGGTGCTTTCACTTCCAGAGACAGTTGTAAGCACTGTGTAACTGCCTCGAGGATGCTTGACCATTTTAACACAACGTGGTGCGATCATCCCCCGTTGCGCGGAGTGAGGGTTCTCCACCCCGCACAACATGATCTACTCGACCACCATTATGGTTACCGCCAAAAAAAAAACGAGGTAAAAAAAAAAACGGTAACCTGGTTGCCGAGTTCACGAAGTGAATTGGCTTGTTTTACAACGTCGTTGCCAAGCGACGAAAACCCAATCCCGATGGCAAACACCGAGTGGGGGGGCGGTGGCGACAGCATCATGAAAATCCAAAAACGCTTCGCGTTGATCTGCAGTCCGTTCGAAACCAAAAAACAACACTTGTGATGGCACATCAGACGTGTTCGAGGCTTTGCATGGGGTCTCTACTGCAAGACATCCAAGTCTAGCCAGCCTGCCAGGTCGACGGTTTTCCAAAACTGAAAATCATGTACAGAACGCTGATTTGCCCTTCCAACAATAAACACTGACGTGAAGGATGATAATTCGTCAAGGGCAAAAGACAAACAAAAAAAGCGCACCTGGTCGGGACTGTCGGGTTCCGCCATCCCCTCCACCGCGAGGGAGACGGAGGGCGCAGGCCTCCTCTTGTTGAGCATGTCGAGGGTAGCGAGCTTCTCCTCGCGACGGCGGTTCTTGTTTTTCGTGCGGAAGCCGGCCAGGAGCACGGCCAGCAGGCAGACGCCTGAACGGAGGGGGGGAGGGAGGAGGGGGGGGGGAGAACGGGGCAGTTGTACGGCCGGCTGTTTGAATCAATCCCAAGGGTTGCCTTGACAGGGCCCTACGACAAGCTGCATCGCTTCCGTAGTCATACCTGTGCGATGACGCAAAAACCAGCAGAACATCTCCAGAAGAACGTGATGGTGCAGCAACACATCAACAGCTTCGAAAAATTATTCCCCAAGATATCACCCCCCCCCTTAGATGTGGCATCATCGCCGCTCACCTCCGGCGCTGAGGCCAATCACCAAGGCCAGCTTGGTCGCTGCGGACGAGTCGGAGCCGGTGTCGACGGAAGCAGCAGCTACGCCCACGGGCAGCTCGACGGACAATCCCCACGCGTCGTCGTTTACCTTGTCCACCACCTGTCGCCAAAATCAGCGTACATGAGGGGGATGGTCGTACACCTGGCATGCAACTCCTAATGGTGAGCGACCTACAACACGGTCGTCCGTGGGACAACAGACAGGTGCTTGCGCCTACTCCGCCGGCGTCATGACAGAAAAAAACAACAACAATATAAGGCACTCCTGTACCCCGTATGATAAAAAATATGCTTGTATACTAGATAAACGCGAACCATTAGACTACCTGCAGAGCGCTGGCCTTACAAGTAGTATGCACAACATCGGAAAGACAAAACACTCCCGGAAAACTTATCTCGCAATCGAACCACTATTCATGAAACAAAAACTTAATGAAACCCCTGCCTCAAGGGAACAAGGACAAAATAGTCCTCCCGTTTCACTCGTGTCTCACCAGCAGCCTGTAGTCGGCGCCGTTCTCGATCTCCTCGGGCAGCGTGATCGTGGCCGAGGCCACCGGGATCGTCGCCGTGCACGAGCCGCCCTCCTGGTCGGCGCAGAGGTTGTTGCTCACGCGCTCGCCGTCCTGGCGCAGGTAGATATCGAACTCCGTGTTCTCGCCCACGTACAGCCACGACACCGAGAGGTCGCCTCCGGCGTTTAGCGTGGTGTACCTGTTCGTTCGTTTCGTTTCGTTTGTAACGGTCGCACGGAAAGAAGGCAGGCACAAAAGGACCGTTCGACAGGTAGAAGTGAGGGAGAATGGCGGGGGGGGGGGATCGTGCCGATTGGTGAATGGGTTCAAGAAGTTTCGAGCGGAGATGCCGCAACTGCGCTCTGAAGGATCCACCTCCCAGCGGACGATCAACTGCTGCAAAGGGCCGCCAAAGACGCACAAACACCTCAACAAGTCAGCAGCTTCTCCGTTTCATACTCAAATGCCTATCCAAACCAAGCAGGGATTCTTTTTGTCCAACTCACCCGTCAGGCGACGTGATCTCGACGTTCGATGTCGACGTTCCGATGATGGTGAACGTTTCCGAGGTGTCCTCGAGGTCGGAGGACTGGTCTCGAACGCGCACAGTGTAGTCGGACCCAGACTCCAGGCTGATCCATTCATCCGTCCATCATGAGCCGGGCAGGGTTGGGATTCCAACGATAGGGTCGGGAACGGGGGAAGGGTCGGGGAATTTGGTCAGCCCATGGATCTGCAGCACTTCACTCAAACAAAGCATGTTGAGCCGCTCCGCACGTGACGCGCTCTGCTAAAAAACTGACCGCCGAACCAACGCTCGACCAATCAGAGGGCATCAGCACCAGTGTAAGGAAGAAGAGAAGTGCTTGTTGGCGACAAAGGATAGTGGAATCAACCGTCTCATACCAACGGAAATATTGATTGTTCCTATTAGTAACGGGGCAGGACAGATACTCGTGGCCTCGCGCCAATCAATCCACGATGCTGGGAGACAATACCTGGCATGTATGTTTATCTACTCATCAACGGGAGTCGTCTACAACTGAACTCTTCGGCAGTTTCCGTGCGCACCTCAAGAGGAACAGTTTCCGTGCACAACCTCTCTGCATAACCTGGTATAGTAAAAAGGTTTCGAAGGTCCAACACGCAACTACGCATCCTCAACATCCGCAGCAAGGAGCAGCAGCAGCCAAACGACGACACACCCAAAACATTAACATTTGCAAAACACAAACATACACACACCACGCCACAACAAAACGACTACTGCTGTACGCGTCAACACAATACTGCTGTGGCGTCCTCCGGAGCTGCTCACCCAGTGTCCGGCAGGACGACACACAAATGACACCCCCAAAGACGACCATTTAGTCGTAAATGCTCACTCGGTGTCCGGCAGGATGACGGTCTGCTCCTGGGTAAGGTCGAAGCAGACGCCGTTCTCCTCCGCGAAGCAGAGGTCGGCCACCTCCTCGTCCCCCTTGAGGAGGTGGATGGCGAAGTTCTCGCCGGTACCCTCGTAGATCCACTCCACCGGTACGGCGTCGCCGGCGTGGTACGAAGACGTGCTGTGAGGGACACGTCGCGGGGCGAGGGAGGAGAAGCGGGCGGGGGGAATGCTGGTGTCGAGACAAAAGTACGGTGCGCATTGGCAAAACTAGGATATGGATTACGACCCCCGCTGAACCCACACTACGTGAACATGGGCCCGCGGATTCTCGCCTGGAGCATGTGTTTCGACCTCGAAGGTCAACTCCTTTACTTTTAAAGCTCCGAATTTAGTCGGCGGAAAAAAAACACAAAAAGTAGATACATGCCGCCGAGTTTATGCCGTATTCGCGCATGAGGAACGCACGGCATACTATACCCCCTCTACCGCATCTACAAGTATGCACATTGTCAAATCCAAATCAACACCCCGCCGCGTTTGAACGCTATCTATCTTCAAAGCGAACAAGGATACACATTTCGCAAGGAACTCGGCATGAACCGAAGCACGCGTGTTTTTCGGCTTCCGGCGAGCTGTAGTATAAGCTCTTCATGTCCCTCGGAATAAAGTACAGGTCCATGCGGCTATTTATCTTCTCCCCATGGTCATGCTGCCACTGGCGACCTACATAGGTAATCCGTTGTCTTTGGTAGACAGCTCGGAAAGATGTGGTACATACAAGCAAAGTCGACGAGAGATTGAGAACAACCAGAAAACCACCTTCCCACTTGGTAGATAAACACGGGAAAAGTGCGCTTGGCTTCACAACCAAGAAGAGGGGTGCGAAAACCGACCAACATCAGGAAAGCCCCATGCAAAGGACACCGCGGTTCCTCCAAGCAAGACCAACCACAATAGTAACGTCATGGCAGAGGCCGCCGTTTAGAGCAAAAGAGACTAAAACGTGTTCACGAAGATGGATACTACGTAACAACTATTACAGGATTCAGAAACAAGAAACACAGAGAGCAGGTCAGCCGCTGAGGATCGTTGTGTACCGAATCCTCTCGATGTACTTGTATACAACCTTGACGGCCGTGGTGGTGAGTGTAACAACATAAAAAATTGAACAAACGGAGCCTCGAACCGCAATTGACGTTTCATATATCCGGCCCCCTACATACTGCTGTCCTTTGAGCATTGGCGCCCGCTGGGATATGAAGCATGCGAGCTGTGAAACTCGGTCGAAGGGGTGTACACGCGATGAGTTGCGACCACTTGTTCCACAGAAACGAGGAATTGAAAAAGGAGCGCATCTGTTGCTGTTGCTCTGATCTGCTGTGCTCCATGCTCCGCATATCAACATTTGAAATCTCAGCAGCGACACGCATGCTGGGGTTTCCTCTACACGGGTCGAATCCGAACAGAGTTGGAATCTATACACCCTACACAAGAACTACCCGGTCCTGGGTGCATCTATGACATGATGCAGGAAAAAACGAAAAAACGGCACGGGTCGTTGCCGGCAAATTAATTTTGTCGACAAACGCGCCCTGTGATGACCCGCCTACGATCGCGCTGTGACGAGAAATAAAGAGCCAAACAAATCATGCGTTTGGCTCTTCCCCGTCGCTTCCTATATATTTTCCACGTGGGAGTTGACAATTAAACAACCGCACGTGCGGAAGGCGTGAACGAGTCGCCCTCCAACTACTGAGTCTGTCTGCACCGAAACATGGCTACACAGACGGAGAACACGCAGCTGCATCCGAAGGGCAAAAAACGAAAAACAAAAAGAAAAAAGAAAAAGGTGGTCCACGGCGGCGCACGGGTAAACATTTGGGAATCTCAAAGAGAACGGGAGTCGAGCACCAACCATGTGTCACCATGATTCGAGCAAGCACACAAGCCACCAAGAAGGGTTGCAGATAAGAGAGCGCTGTAGTGGTGGGTGGTGGGTGGGTGTGCCTTGGCGTCCTCTCCTCTATTTCTGTTTATCTCTCTCGCACACGCTCGCTCACCTCGCGGGACTCGAAATGTCGAGCGTGGCTCCCAGCGCGACCCTCGCCGTGCTAGCACCAGCCACGAAGATGGCCGCTGCTGCTCTCCCGAAAGCCGTTGGCGGTCGGGTCCGCTTCGTGATCACCATCCTCGGTTTGGACAGCTGATGACAGCGAGAATGACAGACCAACAACAGCGTGCGTCAGGCACACAGCGTTTCCGCATGCGCTCTCTCCGATAGACAGGCACACTCTCCTCTCTGCTCGCTGCTGTTTTCATCGAATAACCGTCCCGCAGCAGACGCAAAAATAACAACCTGTTCCTGTTCCGTGAGCAGTTCGAAGAATTCAAACAACCATCCCACAGAACGCATCCACTCATTACCTCGCACCTGGCTCTCTGGTCAGACGGGTGCGTGTGTCACGCGTGCCCTGATGTAGTCGCTGGTGTGGACGCGGCGGTTGTTTTGAATGAGGAACGGAAAGGAGCCGGTTGCAGGGCCGTTGGGTGTGTATGTGTGACAGATGGTGACCTTTCGGGGGGGGGTACGCCGAATCATAATGAGGGGGGGTGTTCTAGATCGAACGCGGCCGTGTGAGAGCGTGAGAGCATCCACCCGCTTTTTTGCACTGACATCCCGGGCACTGCTGCTGCTGCTGCTGCTGCTGCTGCTGCTGTGTGTCGCGCACTCTCTCCCTCTTCGCATGCCGGCACCCGCCCTGCCACGGTGCTTGCTGCTGTGAGTGGCGGTGTAAGGAGGCCTACGAGGCTGCTGTGGTTGGGCAAGAGAAGATACGTTGATTAAGTTTCCAGTATTTTTCCCCCCGGAAGAGAAAGGAGAGAGAGGGCGAGCCGTTCGCCAATTCGAGTTTACGACCACAACGCGGGACACGAAGACACAAGGACGCCGCGAGAGCAATCAGGATGCACGAAGCGGTGCGACACACGCTGGCAATGTCCAAGTCCGAGGTAAGAAGACGAGATCCCGCGCCAACGACGGCGGCGGCGGGAGCTTGCTTCTCGAGCGGGAGAAGACGCAGGCCTCTTCTCCCGAAAGTAATGGCGACTTGTTCTCCTTCAGCCGCCTTGTACTGCGGCATCTTATTGTTGCTGCTGCCAACCGCTACCACCAGAGTAGCGGCGCTGACGGAGATAACGAACGTGGCCGCGCCGACATCGATCCTCACGGCGGGCACCTACTACGCCGTCGGCTGGGTCTACTCCACGGACACCGGCGCCTGGGGCACGACGGGCGACCTCCGCCCCTTCGAGATCGAGCTCCGGTCGTGCGGAGGAGACGCCGCTCAGCAGGCCGAGTGCGGGCTTGGAGAGTCCTGCGGCAACCCGTACCGCGCGCTGTGCGATCTAGAGACAGGGGCCGCCTGCATGGACTCGGACGGCAGCTACGACGTGCTCATCCCGGAGGACGTCGACGCCGGCAGGTACGTCTTCAGCGTTACCCACCTCGGCCTCTCCAGCTGGACCTCCGGCACCTCATCGACGTCGGACTCCGGTTTGGTCACCGGCTGCTCGGAGAGCTTTTTTGTGGAGGAAGCGGCCGCGAAGGAGGTGCTGGCCGTGGAGGCTCCCGCGGCGAGCTCTCTGCAGCCGGGAGATGCGTTCACGGCGGAGTGGGAGTACGAGGGCGCGGACGGGGAGACCAACGGGAACTTCGAGGTCAACCTGTTCTCGTGCGCCGACCAGGCCTGCGAGCAAGACAGGTATGTAGGTCGAGCCAGCCTACTTCCCTCTCCCAAATCTCAAATCAGTGAAACATGTGTTTTTTTTGTTCTCGTTCTCGTTCTCTCTGTCTCTCTCTACTCCGTGGTCCTATCATACACCAGCAAGCATTCTCGGCTGTGTGCCGGCTGTGCCTGTCTACCGGCTGTATCGTACGGTTTGGGTTGTGCGTAGGTTTGCTATCCGCATGCCTCGAGGGCGCTGATGCTGCACGCTCGCCGTGTGTGCACCGCCTATTCGTATTTCATAGCTAATTTAGCCGTTACAAGCGTGCCTGCCACGAATTTATTGGTATTCGGAGCATCATCCGAAAATTATGCGACTGGCTCATGTTCCTGTTGTGTATGGATGCAAAAGTATGCATATGATCGTCTGCCGCCACATGGTTGTTGGTGGATGGATATATCTTTGTTTACCCGCCATTGCCAGCTAGCGTGATCGAAGGGCGGGCCACAATGAGCCTTTGACGAAGTGTATACTTTGGCCGTGCGTCCACGAGTTGTTACCAACTACTGCTGTACCTCTTGACGAGCGAGCGTAAAGCGCGCCTAGTGGCGGAAAATAAGAACGAGTCGGGGTTCCTCCTCCTACCGCTCTATTCTTCACGTTCATTAAGGAATAATAAAAACACACAGAAAGACTACCCATTCGAGATATACCCACAGTCGAACGGGATGTGGAGTCTTTTCAGTGAGTGAAGGGAAACCGGCTTTCGTACATAAGTCCTTTTAGGTTGGTTGTGTCATGGTGTTCTTTAGCTTCTTCGAAGAAATATTTTCATGTTTGCCGTTTACTCCCAACCCGTAGTCGCCCAAAAGGATTAGGATTCCTCTCCCTGAGGCCCCCTACCCACCTCTCCTGCGGTGCTTTCATTCTTTCCCTTCGATTTTTTATGCGCTGAACTCGCACTCTCTTCTGTGTAGGTACAGACGTAGCACAGACTCGAACCTTCATGTTGTATCGTAGCGCTTTCCACTCTTTTCGCCCTTTGAACGTTAGAAAAGAGCGAACCCATGGAATATCGACCGGTATGCAGTGTAGTGTAGCTCTCTTCATAATGGTTGTAGACCGCGGCTGTGGGTGTGTGGATCCCGCGGGGGAGTTTAAATCTTAACATCGTCGTAAACGGTACATAGCGTGGCGTTCTTGTTTGACGAGCACAGGTCAGAATGAGCGCGCGCTAGGTTTGCGCGCGCATGGAGGGAAGCTTGTCTTGCAGCAGTATCCATTTGATTGTTGTTGTGGTTTGCCCCCCCCGTCCCGGTCACTCCTCGGCCAGCTGTATGCATAGCACGGCGGGGACCAGAAAGGGCAAGTAGTTGCGTGAAAACGGAGCGCCCATATATGCGCGTGTGTTTGACCATCCCCAAATCGGCAACGAGAGGCAGCCTGGAAGGAATGTAGTCTATGTTATACGTAGTACAACATGTAGCTTGATTCGCCCCCGGGAGCCTTTTGATGTTGTTCTCCTGTACATACGTAAGCTCGAAATTCTGGCGGCTAGACGTGTGTTGCCACAGCAGCACAACAGCAGTACATATCTTTGCGGTGAGTTCGATTAGCGGCGAGATAGGACGCCCATCCTCCGTGATAATGTGATAATAGCTCGTCTAAATCCGGAACGGGTTTTAGTAGTGAAGACAACAAGATTACGTGCGCGGCGCGCGTTCCTCCGCGAGTAAATTATAAATCATCAGTGTATAGGCTTTAAAAGACTCGAAATAAGTCCAGTACCCAGCCGGTTTCCCTTCACTCACTGAAAAGACTCCACCACATCCCGTTCGACTGTGGGTATATCTCGAATGGGTAGTCTTTCTGTGTGTGTGTTTTTATTATTCCTTAATTAAATTAACCTGCTGAGTGCCCTTTGTTGGTGGTATGCATACAAACGCAACAGAGTACTTATCCCATGTGCGCCATCCATGACTGGGTCTCCCCAACCCTACGCCTACAGTAGGTCGCTTGCAGGCGTTGGCAATCGACCACTCACTGCTGTTGTAACAGCTGGGGCAGACATGAATTCATGGTGTGTTCGCTCCAAAGATATTTCGAACCCGCTATCCCAGACAGCAGTAGTCAGAAAGATGCAACGTCACCAACTCAACCACAGGGGCGACCGTTTTTTTTATCTCATGAAGCGTTGGATCCCGTGTGTCGCTGATGCGTCCAGACAACATGTTGGTGTACAAATAATTTGCAAAAGCGCAGCAGGCAGAAAAAAGGTGCGGTTCATATTTTTTACCCGCCGTCGGTTAAGGTGAACTTGTGTGGCCCTCATCTGCAAGAAAACTAATCATCTGCACGTATGCATACACGCATACTTCGCCCAATTACATGAGCTTGTTCACGTCAGTTTTCTGGAAAGTATAACTACAGCAGTATACATAGTCTCACTGATGGATTACCCGTTCGAGTTGGTAAACCATAAGTCTCCTCAGATAGCATGGGATCAAAAAGTGGCAGTACCTCCCACGGGCGGTGTGTCCACTTCCACTCACTTTCAAGTCCTGCGCCTGATGTATGCATACGATCTTCGTTTGTAGGGCTTGAACAACGCCGTACATGCTCATTGACATAAAATGTTTTAGCAATTCTTCTACCATAACCTAGATACAGAGGTGGACCCCGCACATTCGTGAAAAAAAACAGAGAGAGGGGGAAGGAAGTGCTGAACACTTTCTAGCGGGCAAGAATTGCCGGCTGATTGCGCCGAGGGAAAGGCGGAGAAAAACGAACCGGGCTCATACGTGGGGCAATTTTCAATTTTCATGTTGGACAGGAAGAACTAAAAAGAAAACATATGGTATATTTTAGAGTGGTAGAGCCGGGTAGATACCCGTCCTCCCACCAATCACTTGGCGATCAGGAAAATTCAATTGTTTTTTGTTGGGCCCCTATGTATGGGAGGTGAACCGAGAAAAAATGTGCTCCAACTGTTTCCTTTGTAGCGCCCGCTGGTGCGGCACTCGTTACACAGGCACACGTGTTGAATGGTGCCCAAAATAGATACATGCGAGAATTCCCGCGCATCAATGCGAGACAGAGGGAAACAAAAAACGAGAGACTCTATAACAACACACCACGGAGCTCTCTCCCTCACCCCGCGCCGGATCCTCTCTTGACATCGGATCGCCACCCCAACCACCACCTCAGCCTCCCAACAATAAACTTCGCCACCCCCCAACCACACCGGCGCTATCCCCCAGTTGCGGGACCTTGGTAGCGGAGCTCTGTGGGGAGGCGGGCTGCTACGACCCGGGTCCCGGAGACTACGACGTCCGCATCCCGGCCGACACGACGCCGGGGACGTTCAAGCTCCAGGTGAAGAGGGTTCCCACCGGGGAGGAGGCGTGCTCCGCCGAAGCTTTCGCCGTCGAAGCGGCGTCCTCTGACAGCAGCAGCGGCGGCGGCGCCCGCGCCATCTCCACGCCGGCGCCTGTCCCCGCCGCCTCGGCGGCGACCACCACGCCCGCGCCCGTCGTATCATCCACGGGGGCTCCGGTGAATGCGGCCACGGGGGCTCCGGTGCCTGCTGCTACGGGGGCTCCGGTGCCTGCGGCTACGCCGGCTCCGGTCGCCGCCGCCGCTGAGTCCGCTCCCGTCCCGCTGGCCACTTCTTCGGCGACGGAATCGGGAGAGATCCCGGGGACGCCGCCGACACCGGTGCCTCCCCGCGTGACGTGCGACCCGGCGGCGGTGGTGGCGTTCAGCTACAAGCTGGAGACGTCGACCCTGCTGCCGCTGATCACGATCTCGCACGAGAGCGAGGACAGGGACGAGGGGGGCTGCACGAACTTCTCGGGGCTCTGGGAGTGGGTGAAGGCGCAGGATGCGGACGTGCAGGTGTGACGGGAGGGAGGGAGGGAGGGAGGGGGAGGAAGGACAGGTTTTAAGAGCGAAGGGAAAGTAGGGGAGGCAAGAGAGAGAGAGAGAGAGAGAGAGAGAGAGAGAGAGAGAGAGAGAGAGAGAGAGAGAGAGAGAGAGAGAAACCACGCGCACGAATGTGAGGAACACTACAGGAGAGGCACGAGACGGAGAGAGACAGAGAATTGAAAAGCGAGAACAGGTGTAACGAAAAATAGAGAGAGAGAGAGAGACAAGGCAAAGTGGTTGAGTACCGCATGCCATCGACAGTGGGGCACTGGTGTGTGTGTGTGTGTGTGTGTTTAGTGTTAGCATCGACTGCGCTAACCTGTTGAATAGACGTCAGTCTCAGTGCGATTAATATTCATGAATGCTTCTAAAGGCCATGACCTGGGACCCCGTGAAGGGGCGTCATATGTGTGTGTTTTTTTTGTCATTAGCATCGACCGCGCTAACCTGCTGACTGATGAAAAATCGTCAGTCTCAGTGCGGTTGAAAACACACGAAATGCTTCTAAAGGCCATGACCTGGGACCCCGTGAGAGGGCGTCGTGTGTGTGCATGTCCGTGCTCTCCCGCGCATGTCGGGTCCGCTTATCGTCGACGATGTGTTGTCGTTGTCGTTGTGTTAGTCGTTGTCCTCGTACACCTTGGGGTACGGTCATGTCTTAGTAGCATCCACGCACACATGTCCTTTGCACGACTTTTTTTGTCGCTCTCGGCTTTCTTGCTTATTGGCTAGAAATATATGTAGTGCCGCCGAAAAAGATCTCGAACAGAAGGAACATTTCGCTGCGGCGCTCCCTATTTAGCGTTGTCGTCTCTCTCGTCCTCACCCCACAGGCGTTAACGAATACCCTGCTCCAGCGCAACAAAAAACAAGGAAACACGACCCTAACAAGAGCAAAACATTAATTCGCCCTCTCGCCAACCCCCGTCCTCTCGAGGACGTGTGGTCAGTGGTGTAACCGTTACGGGATGCAAAACATGAGTCCCCCCCCCCCGCATCGCACGACTGCCCCCTCCCTTGTGTCAGGAACTCCTGTATCCTGCGGATCCCACGACGGGCGAAGCGGACACGACCGGGGGGGCGGCGACGGGAGTGTGGCTCCTGCGGACCTCGGTGGACGTGACGAACGGGGTCATGTTCGAGGTGATGGGCACCCAAGCCGAAGGGGGCGACAGCGACAAGGTACGTACTGCGCAAGGTGTCTCTATTAAGTAAGTGTTGTTGGATAAAGCGCGCAATCGGGGAAGCTGGGGTACGGGGTCTGTTGTACTTCCTCCCTTGTTCTATTTCCTCGTTTATTTGCTTAGTTTTTCGCCAAGGTGGTCCTCTGGAGTAGTATTTTATGGTTTATACCTTTGTGTTTGTTGTGTGATTTGGTGGGGTGTCCGCTGCGGTTGGCCCCCTGAACCATGCTCACGGAACGTGGAGGGTGCCGAAGATAGGCTGCCGGAGACTGCTGTGACTTAGGAAAAGGACAGCTACGACACGAGCGTCGGCATGGAGTTACATTGGGCTGCGCACGAGGTGCTTTTTTTTGCAAACACATGCGGCACCAGACGCATCTGCTTGTGATGCCGCTCGAACGACAATGACGGTAATTGCACAACAGCAGTTGCTACAACAGCAGTTGCCACTCGGCAACTGCTGTCACACCATCTTTGTGACCCCCCCCCCCCCCCCCCTTTTTCGGGGGTGGGTGTGTTTTAAAAAAAAAAATGGGGGGAGGCCTCCCTAGTAAAAAATTTTAGGAGTCGGGGGGGGGGGGGGGGTCTTTATTTTTTTAAAAAAGGGGGGGGGAAAAAGGGCTTTGGGGGTGGGTTACCCCGGGGGGCCCCTTGGGCTTGGGGGGGGGACCTAAATGGGGGGGACACAGGGGGGGGAAACCAGGTTTTTTTGGGGGAAGGGGGGGGGGGGGGGGGGGGCCCCCCAGGTGGGGGGGGGGAATCCCAAGGGGGGGGGGGGGGGGGAACAAAAGGAAACTTTTGACACCCGGAAAAACCCTTCAAGAATTTTGGGGCAAAAACGGGCGGGGGGGGGAATGAAAGGGGAAATTTTTGGGGGTTTTGGGTTCTCGGGGGGGGGGGGGCACCCTGGCCTTTTTTTTTTTTGGTTTAAG